AAATCTTCATACTCACCGCTGTGAAAACCTCAAATCTTACATTAATCTTGAATGCTTGTCAAGTCATGAAGACGTTCTGTAATTGGTAACTGTGAATGAGTTGCGCTTAGGACATTTCTATTTTCCGAGCCACGCCATTTTGACGCGGGACGGAACGGATGCAGCGAGAACACAAGATCACACCCGTATTTTACCGTGTCTCGTGTTATGTTGCTTGAAACTGAATGTAAATTACATAACTCAGCAGAAAACTAACACTGAATAGCTTCAGAATTTTACACGTCACTTTTCGTAAGAAAATAATTTCTCGTAGTCCTTTGGTATGCAACAACGCTATCCGTTGTTACGTGAGTGTATTGTCGGATGGTAACTAAGAAAGGAGCACATTTTGACTAGACTTTATAACACAGGGAAGTGAGTGTATTGTCGGATGGTAACTAAGGAAGGATCACATTTTGACTACACTTTATAACACAGAGACGAATAATGGATTTGAGTTGACAGTGAAATGGCACCAGTTGTAAATATTACGCCATGAAGGCTTGTGTAGTGCTCGAAGGCAAGTCTCCAAGATTTCTTAACCTTTAGATGGAATTGAAATACTTTTTGCAAAAACCACAAAACGGAATGAATCAGAAGTGGTAAACATATTAATTTATTATCAATCATGTAATGATACATCTTCAGCAGTAAGACGTCTGTGTGGTCACTACCTTATCTGATCTTCTGCTACATTAATGAAGGACAATTTTTTTTGTTCACTGTGCTTTGTATATATTTTTTAAAGACCTGTCAGTCTACTTGATACATGAATGTCAATTTACAGGAAAATACACAAAGAAATTGGTCTTGACTTGTACAGTTGATTATGTGAATACTTTTCGACATATACGAGATAAAGGATCATATATTTCAGATGATGCACATCCGCTCCTTTTTAATCTCTTCCAGTCAAGCAACATCGACAGTGAGTTTCCGAAAAATTCCGGTGGAGCAGTTACATAAGAATATTGACATTCATTTAAGACGGTAAAATTGTTACAGACAAAACAATGATAGTTACGATACGTGTCGTAATCGGAGCAGACAAGAGCTGTGTATGCCTCACATAGCTGTTCTTCTCGAGTCCCAGTCCATTCCCGAAGACAGTGGCTTATGATGTTAGTTTTGCAAATCCGGATTACTCTCATTTCTTCATAATGCGGCCTGAAATTTAACGTACAGCTGTGTTTATATTCTTGCTTTACACGGTTTCTTCTGTTTACTGTACCCTGCATAGGTTCTTCTTGAATAGATACACCAGAATGATTGCCCAAGTCATAATTATCAATATTCAAATCCCATTCTGAAGTGGAAGTATTGTAAGATAGTTTATCAGCAAATGTTTCGTCAGGTATAAGAATATCAGGCGATCCATCCTCGGGTGTACAGTCAAATAAAGCGTCCCAAATGTCCGTGGTGTTGGCATCGAGGTCGCTGTTACAGAATGCACAGTACCAGTTGCTGTCTACATGCATGTACTTCATACTCGTTCTCTTTTTTTCGCGTAGACGTACCTGAATTACTATGAGAAGCAGATTTCCTTATCTTCAGATACCACTGCGAAGTAGAAGGATTGTAAGTTAAATGTTCTGCTACTGTTTCGTCAGATATATTTACTGTTAAATGATGACCACATTCGAATGCAGCATTCCAAAAAACGGTGGTGTTGGCATCGAGGTCTCGGTTACAGGATGCACAGTGCCAGTTCCTATAAGTGATGTTGGTACTCCTGCTCGTGACCGGGGCGTCGAGCAGTGGGTCACGGTGATTGGTGTCGGGGTGTTCGCATCGGTTGCGGGTGTCGGAATCCCCCCAGTCTGGAGGACATCGCGGTATCACGTATATAGATTTTCCAGAAAGATCCATACATGTGAAGGGGGAGGCCCCCAGACGTTGTTCTTCTGGGGCGAAGTACGGGGACGTACGACAGCAGTCCCCGTACCGCGCACATTCAGGATCGCAGGCACAGACATCGATGTTTTCATCACCTCCTCTGCAGGTTGGCCTATGAACACAGTTTATGAACGTTTGCGTTAGAAATGGTCTCAGTGGTCGTAGGTTCGTGCATGAGAGAGGTCACTTCCGTTTTGGCTTCTCTTGTAGCTCTGAGTTGTTCTGGAGATAATTCTACATTTCTTTCTCGTGTTCTTGATGTAGATGTGGTACGTATGTACGTTTATTTAGGTTTTTAATCCGCACCATGAAGTATTCTACTGAAATTGGACGGGGTTTGTGGCGGTAATTTGTAAGGTGGTCGCTTGTTTTTTGCACAGGTACGGATCTGACGAGAGGTAGGGGAACACCACAGATCTTTCATAGTATCCTGCATCACAGTAGAATATCACCAGGCCACTTCCGTCCGTCTTCCACTCGGAACTATAAATAGTAATCTGTTTACTGTGTAGGATTTGAGGTTTTCACATCAGCGAGTCTCAATATTTCTGTCTTCTGGGGTGTTGCGCCGCGTGTAGTCTGGTGATGGAGGCGGCAAGGACCTCTGAAACGTCGGTAAACTTCTACCATACTCCACGGCGGTACAACCCAGAATACAGCCATCGTCAATATGTCGACGCACGCATCAGCCCGGTACATATTTTCATAATTGTTTAAGTCTTGTCATGTGTAATGGACCTAGTTCAAATCTCTGTTTGGTCTCAACGGAAGGTTGCTGTGGTTTTACTCTGGCTCTGAATTCGGATACGGGAACGTCTGTTTGTATTTCTGTCCACAAAAAAGGACATAAATTATTAGTCAAATTATAAATAAATTCACACATCACACATTACTTACTCAGGTGGCTGGGTGGCATCTTCAGTGGCGTCACTAAGTGTCGCAGTTACCAGAATCACTGTCATGATAAACGAAGGTCCATATCGACTGGCCACTTTCCACCAATTCATGTCTGCGAATAGAAATTAATTTCATTAAGACTTAAACACAGTTGATGGGTTCAGTACTGATTAAATCCCCCCGGGAGGATAATTACAAGTGAGTCACTGCTTTCGTATTCGGAATTTAACTTAAGGATGCAGAGACTGTGATATGGGACGGGCATGTAAGTTAGCTGTGTAGTGAATGTCACAGGGAAAATTTTTATATTAATTCTGGCTGTGCGTGTTAGCTTTCAGAAGGCATAAATTACAGTGATGACGTCTTGGTTATTTGTATCTGTTCAGGTGACCTTGTAAATTTCGCATTTCGTCTGGTCTGTTGCTAAGTTACGGACAAAGTATTCTCTCGTGTGATTGTTTGCTTTTTGGATTACAGCATCCGTCTGTGCGAAATTTTCGTTTTCCCTAGTACAGCGATCAAGATGAAAATGATGGCGGACGTAGGGAGGATGTGAAATGTTGAATTTCTCATACATCGAAGTTACGGGTTTTTCGTCCATAGTACCTGTGTACACTCCTAACTAAAACCTTGTGGCATGCTACACCAAGGTTGTTCAGGACGTTTTAGCTGCATATTTTTTTATGGTGTGGTTAATTCTTTTTCTTTTATTTCAGAATCTCCTCTACTTTAACGCATTTTGTTTCGTTCTTTTCTGCTGACATCTTCTGTGTAACCAGCAAGACTTGTAAATTCAAGGTCATGACAAATTTCTTGTTAAGTATTTGCACGAAATAGTTAAAAATGGCGCGTGATAGTGGGTTTATGTCCGTCTGTCTTCCCATATAGTGTCTTAAGAAATGCTCATATTGTTTCAGTGAAATTTTTAAAAAATTACTATTGAGGAAACAGGTGAAATTATCGAAAGAAATCTTTTAGAAAACAAATTTTATATTTGGCAAATTCATTTTATCCCGGACCCGTTAAGTTAACTTGTGAATCATACTTTATGTGAAATTAAAATATATTTAAATTTTTAGAAACAGTTCGCCCTATAAACATTTTCGAACAACGTAAAATGTAACATCCTTAAAATTTGAGTTTTACCTGAAAAAAATTTCGATTTTTAATTACGCACAAGAAGAAATGCATTATATATGAGGTATTCACGGCGGTAAGGATGATTTTTCTCCGAAACGTCGGACTTTACGTACTAGTCTACACAGCAGCATTAATATGTAGTTATTTTTGCGTTTGCATTGTGATGTGGTTACAAGATTTTTAGTGTCGTGATTTCCGTTCGTATACACAAACACTGTATTTAAAGTATTGAATTTATGTATATCAGGACTTTTTCTCATCACAGTTAGGAACCTTTGGGTTCCATAAATGCCCGAGAATGTTTTGCCAACTGTTTACTTACGCACTTACTGTCTGGTAACAGAACGGAAATGTTGGCGCTCAGAACACAATTACATTTGAGTGTACTTACTGACCGAAGTGTGATCGCACGTGCTGCCTTGCGAGAACTGGTTTTCTGCTGGAAGTTGCGTTGCCTCTGGTCTGCAGAGAGAAGATCAGTGCGCCTCTTGGCACGATCCAGAAGCGTGGAAGTGGTTTTCGCGGTCTAGGCAGCCTGGAATAGTCTTGTTTTTGAAGCCATGAAAACCTCGTATATCAGGAAATGTGATTAGTATCTGAGCTTGGTATTCTAGTACCAGTGGCTATAACTGAAAATGTAAACCATTTTAATACGTAGTTTCTGCTCCCGACTTCTTGGAAAATGTTATTTGTAGAATCGTCAATTATTTCTGTTTGATGTGACGATGCTAATACCAAATATGGACAAATAATTAACTCTCTCTGGTAATAGAAGTTTTAGGCTTTGCGTCGCTAACACTAAACGTTGTTCCGCGTGAGGAATCCGACGTCTCGTATTCTTGTGGATGGAACGTACGTCCTCCATCGTCAGGTCTCATCGTACTACCGTCATGTCTTTCTCTGTCTGTCCCTTTCTGTAACACAGTGCTTCTGGGACGAAGAACGTGATCTCCGAAATTCCAGGTGTGTACTCCAGACGCGTGACCCTTTCTTCGTCATTGGGAGGATATTATTATTTCATCCAGTACGCTCCCGGGGGTCGGGGCTGGCTGTTAATCGATTTCTCTCCAGGCCAGCGAAGCAACTGAGACTGCCCAGGGAACATCCTGTAGTAGCTAGATGGTTAATTTTGCTTAGATGAATAGATGATTAACTGTTTCTGGTTTAATTGGTATGTTGATTAGGTGATTTGATTGTTTGGGTTGATGGTTTAAGTCTTTCTAGCGCGAAAACTATGTAAATAATATTTAAATATCCAGTCTGTACAGCGAAGAAAACCACGTCTGTGTTACAAATATCAGTTGGTTGGTGTTTTTCATGGAGATAATAGTTGAAGATTTCTGTCTTCTGGGTTGTTGCGCTGTGTAGTCTGGTCGATGTTAACCGACGTTTCAGAGGTCATACTGCCTCCGTCATCAGG